ATTAATTTTCCGACTTCTATTTAATACTTATAAAAGACGGTTCCTATAAAGTATTTATAGTAGGCCGGCTCTTTAAGCTATAGCTATTAATAAGGAAGGTATATAAAAGAAACCTCCTAGACCTACTAGTAAACTAAAAGTAGCTAGAAAAATATCCTTTTAAAGACTAGTTTTTCTAGGCCTAAAAAGACTACTTAGCCTTATATAAAAAGATAGGGTCTTTTAAAGGGGTCCTTAAAGAAAAGTTAAGAGGAAAATAGGTCCTAAGCTATAAGTAGGTCTTTATTTATAAGACTAATAAATAGAGCTTTCTTTAAAAGTATAAGGCCTAGCTAGTTATCTATAAGAATTAATAGGAAAAAGGGGATCTACTTACTAAGGTAACTACCTTAATAGGGATATCTTTTTAAACCCTTATAGCTATAGTAGTAGGATTCGACCTTAAACTTAATTAAATAAATACTATTAACGCCTTTATTAACTACCCCCTTAAGAAAGAAGAAGATATCTATATATACCTTTTAGCTAAGAAAGATTTTATAGCTTAGGAAAGCTTTATATAGATTATAAAGATTACTCTTTCTTTAGTAATAGTATTTAATAAGTTCCCTTAAAGCCCTAGGCTTTAAGAAAGTCCCTTAGGAACTATATATAATATAGAAAGGTAAAATTATAGTCTTCTTTTATATCGATAATATTATCTAGGCCTACCTAAAAGAGGAAGAAGTAACTATTAAGGAGGCTATAAAAGGCTTATAATAAAGGTATAAGATAACTAGGCTAAGGGAGCTAAAGTAGTTCCTAAGGATTTAAATCCTTTAGAATAGGTCTTAATAGACTATCTAGCTTATCTAAGACGCCTATATTAATAAGGTCGCTTATAAATTCCTCCTTAATTCCCTTAAAAAGAAGCTTCCTTTTATACCTATATTAAATAAAGAGCTTTTACTTAATCCGTTCTTTAAAGCTATAGAGTAAGAGAAATACTAATATTAATAGAAGGTAGGCTCCTTACTTTTATAGCTATTTCTACTAGACCGGATATCTCTTTTATAGTCTCTTAGCTAGCTAGGTATAACTAGAATCCTAGCCTTAAGTACTAAGAAGTAGTAAACTAAGCTATCCTTTATCTTTATTTAATAAGATTATATAGTCTACGCTTAAAAGGGTAAGGAAGGAAACTAGCTATTAAAATCTTCTTTTATTTAAGCGATTTATCCTTTATAGATATTTCCTTAGATAGAAAGAGCTTATAAAGGTATATTATATCTCTTTTTAGATAAACTATTACTTAAAGAGCTTTAAAGTAAGCTACTATTATAACTTTAAGTATAGAGGTAAAGCTACTAGCTCTTTTAAAAGCTTTAAAGAAAGCTATTTTCCTTAGCCGGCTACTTATATCTTTATAACTATAAATTTTAACTACGTTATCTATAAAATATAATAATATATAAACTATATAAATTTTAATAGAGAACGTAAAGCTATTAACCTAGCTATAATATATTAATATCTATTAGTATTAGCTATACTAAGAGGTTTAAAAGGGACTTATTTTAGTCTATTAAGTTTTAATAGTATTAATAAAAGCTAATAGTCTTATAAAGCCCTTACTAAAGTAAAAGCTAGCTATCTTTTTATAGTAAATTAAGCTAGAAGACGTTTAAGAGAAGCTATCCTTAGAGACCTGCCTTAAGAGTCTATAAGAGGAGCTAATAGCCTATATAAGAAAGTAACGTCTATAGCTAAAGAAAAGGAAGAGGTTTTCCCTTTAAAGGGCCCCCTATTTTAATTAGGTTTCTCCCTTTTAAGAAGGCCCTCTTTCTTATAAGACTTTCCCCTCTTTAGGCTCTTATTCCTTAAGTAGGTCTAAAAGAGCCTAGGACCTAAAAGGGCCCTTACTTTCCTTAAGTAAAGGGATAGGTATAGAGCTAAGAACCTCCTCTATACGCTTACTAGCCTAAAGCTATATTAGCTATACCCTTAAGGGGCAAGCTATAGCTAAGGGTATATATCGCGAAGCGTAGCTTAATTTTATAGTTCTTAGAGATATCCCTTAGTAAGAAGGACCTAGGAAGCTAAAAACCTAGTTTAAAAAAAGGAGCTAAGAAGAGGTATAAAAAGGAGGGTAAGGGTATAAGGGGAAGTAAAAGTAGCGATAGCTTCCTATAGAGGTAGCGAGAGATAAGATAGATATACTAGCAACGGCTAGAATAAAGGGGAAAAACTAGTAAAAAAGCTTAGTAGTTAAAAGGATATTAGTAGCTTCTTTAAGTAGGATCTTCTTTATTAATTAAGATGCTAGATAGGTATAAAAAAGAGCGTTAGATAGATAAAAGAAGGATAATTAAGGAAATATAATAATTACTTACTTATTATAATTGCTACCGCCTTAAAAATTAAATATCTTTGCCTTACCTATCTAACCCCTTACTTTTAATTTTACCTTTATATATTTTTATATACTTCTTATATCCCTCTTTATAAGAATATTTAGTTAGCTAATTAAGGAGCTTAGTATTAGTATTAAAAGGAGTAAAAGCTTTAGTATAATAACTTTTAAACTATTAAGCTTTTAACTAAATTAAGCGCGAAGCTTAAGATAAACCTTAAGTATATTAACGTTTATAAATATTAGCTATATTAAGAGGTATAGTAAGATTAGATATAAGTTAGCTAGGTTATATTAATAATTAACCTAGCTAATAGTATAATAAACGCGCTTATATAATAAAAGTACTAAAGCTTTATTATCTAAGGGGTAGAGGTTAGCTTTATTTACTACTAAGAAGTAAATCTATTACTAAACTACCCCTTAATTAGTATAATACTATAATACTTAAACTTATAATAATAACGATAGCTTTACTAAATTAAGACTAATTAATATAAGGAATATATTATTAAAAAGCCTACCTTTAAGATTACCTTTATCTTAAAGGATAATATTACTAGTAAAAGTACTATAGTACCTAGGCTACTTAAAGGGATACCCCGCTATACTCTTTCTTATAAGGAAGGTTATAAATATAACTTATAACTATTAGTTAAATAGTAAGAGTAGGTTATATAACCCTATTAATCGTAAGTTCGACTCCCTCTAAGGTAAAGGAGTAGGTTATATAACTACGCCCTAAGGGGGGCGCGGGTAATAAACTTAAGCACCTAAGGGGAGAGGAAATAAGGGGCTTCTCCCTATATTATCTCTCCTAGGTCCTAGCTTTTATCTTTTATATACTATTCTTTTTGCCTAGCCTTATAATAGCTACGTCCCTTATAAAAGGGGTTAATAGTAATAGCCTTTAACTACTAATTAAGCGGTAAAAGTAGGTTATATAACCCTAATTAACTAATATTCGAGCCCTCCTTAAGTAAGAGGGGGCACCTAGTACTACGTACTCTAAGGTCGCGTAGTACTAGGTGCCGAATAATATTACCTTTTACTATATTTACCTTCTTTTTATAGAATACTATTAAGGGCCTCCCCTATTTATATTAGATGCCTCTTTAGCCTCTTTATAATTAGATAGATTACTAACTATAGGTGAATTTTAGGGTAGAGAAATAATAGGCTTAGAAGTGAACTCTCGTTAAGCCCTGATTTAACGTAGGTCAGCAGTCTGCTCCCCTTTCAACCTTTAGCAATATGCAGCCCTTGCTGAGCGGTAGAGTGTTTCAGCCAAAGATACGCACAAGTTAATTTTAGGAACGAGTGAGTGGTCAAAGAGCGAGGCTAAATGATGGATCTGTGCTTCTCGATTGGGGCTGGACTGCTTCTGACAAAGGGCGAGCTTGTAAATGGAATTCATCCTCCCTCTTCAACAGCCCCTTTGAGTCAGCATAAGGCTCTCTAGGTGTTCTCGAGACCCGTTACGAGGCACCCAGCAACGAGAGCGAAGGCATAATGGCGAAATACCCCGCAGGACGGATGCAGGGCTTAGAGCTCCCGGGCGAAGATGGCAAGCTCCTGAGCGAGCACACGAGAGACAAGAGAAAGGAGGTGAGACTCGGATGAGGATACCAATTGGTACCAACAGTGGTACGGAGACTGCTTTTTGTTGCTGCTCCTGCTTCAAACGACAATACTACAGAATGGACTTTTGAGAATAATGTTGGCCAGTTTATCAGTTGGCATGGAAAATAACAATTCATTATGGGCCGCGATGGTTGCGAATCAATATTGTTGACACTGGATGGCTACCACTAGGTTACGCTGTGTTTTGTGAGCCCCATGTATGTAAGATATCCTCCAAAAAGTTCAGGCCGTCCTTATAAATGAGTGGAAAAGCACATGGCTATACAAATGGACCCTGGTCCGGCATTCTCCCTCCCACCGCGCAATTGTGTGACAAGGAAAGCCGTCGCCTACAGCAAGGCCATTCGGTTCAGATGTGAGTCATGAGTCTAGCCTTGCCAGCCCTGACCGAAGCGTCTGCCTTTTAATGCATCAATTTCTTCCGTTTTCTCTCGGCTTTGCTCGGAATTGTCTCGGACATCTGCATTTATTAAAAAGCTCTCGCTCCTACACAGGCCTAGCTACCTGGATGCTCTTGGACATACTTGGCGACGAAAAATGGAAATGGGCCAGTTAGCGATGACTTCGAGCCAAATGCCCGTTAAAGTCGAGTCTGAAGAAAGTCTGCATATGCCGACGAATCAATATTGGCTCGGGCTAATTAAGTAGGCCGCCGCAGGGCTGAGCCAAAGGGTACAGTTCTGCTTTACTGAGTCAATAGACACACTGCTGCTGTGGTCGGCCAAGGATGGCTCGCAGGCATCAGCCAAGCAGCAGCAAAGAGGCGGCCAGCACGTGAGTCAAGAGGGCAGATATCGTGATATTGGCGAGAAGCACGACATGATGACTTGACATGAGCTTGCAGCAGCGGTCGCAGAGGACTCGGCGGCCATGCCACTATCGCGTGTCAAGGCCGAGAGGCTAGAGAGGCCACGAAGGCACACACTGTCCCGATTGCAATAATGTAATGCCTAGCTACCGTTGGCTATGCCTCCGGCTTCCTTTCCTCCGGCTTCTGACCCGGCTCGGGCTTCTTGTCAGAGTTCGGCTCAGTCTGGTTGCCGGGATCCTGGGGTGGTGTTGGTGGATTGCGAATCAACTGGTCCAGCAGCGACTGAACCTCGGCGAGGGATTCCTTCGCCGCGTCCAGCCACGGCCTCTCAGCGTCCGGGCCTTGTGCGCTGGGAGGCTCTGGTTGATCCGCGTTGCCGACAGGCTGGTTGCCCTGCTTGCCGTCGTCGCCTGACGACTGCGCCACGGAGATGGTAGCAACTGCTCGTCATGTTAGCTGGGTCTCGCCATTGTAATTGACTGGGAGGCTATATAATGACGCACAGGCTACGGCAACAGCAGCTATAAGACGAACCATGTTGGCGGGCAGCAGATGGCGATGGGAAAGAGTGACAGGTAAGTATTCGTTAAGTATCAACCAAGGCTTATTGAGAAGAAAGAATGAACGGCTGTCTGGCAGACAGATGCTTCGAATGGCCTCTGGGATCAGGAGTCGTATTAAAAGCATATTTTGAGCTGTCCAGATAGTCTTATATCTGAGATAGCCGAGAGCGGCCCTATCGTACTGCGTTATGCATAAATTTTAACAAGCCTAGGATAGAACCAAGGCTAACATGAAACTGGAGGCTTGACATGGACACCCACCCCAACACATCGTACTTTCCCCGCCCCCCCTCCCATCTACAACGGGGATGAGGATCGCCCGACTTGTAAATCATGGCTTGATTTGTAACTGCCAAGAATTAGCTGTCGGCGTTGTAGCGATTTAGGTGTCCGTCCGTCAGGACAACGGGATGACAGCAGGCCCACTAGGCTTGACGTTTCAAGTTCATGGCTACTGACTTGGAAATTTTGCCAGCCCGACAAGGACATACAAGATTAAGAGCATGAAGTAATTGGAATCATTATTCCTAGTCTCAGGCAGTACTCGTTTCATCGACGAAGGCTGAAGTGGGTTCGGCATGGCTTGGCAGCGCGGCAGCACCGAGGCTGCAGAATTTCATTGAATGTTCCTCAACGCCTACATAGGTACCCTCTCTCGCATTTATCTACATCAATCTATGTAATTCTTAGGCACTGGCAAAATCGGTTTCACTATGAGCTCGTCAATCATAGAGTATACCCCTTGTCTATACGCGCATAGAGAGGGTAAGGGGGTCGTTAGCTGCAGGGCCGCTTTTTGAGGTTATGTTAATCAGCTTAGGGGATCAGCCCTAGTCTCCACGGTGCACGCGGATCACGGGGTGCATGTTAGTATAGAGACATGGCCCTATTGCACAAGGCGGGATATATTTAGACAAAGAACGAGCCATCACCCAACCTAAAGGGGTCTCATGGCCATGTCATCTCGCTGAAAGAAATAGATTGGATACATCAAGCTGTCTCTTCCCCAAGTCGAGGCATTTTGATATCTTCCCAGGCTAGAGCTGACTCGGGGAGTCTGCTGCGTGTTCCCCATGTTTTAGTTTATAGAGTTCCATTGTGGAGTGCTGTCGGAGCAGACTCCCCGAATCTACCGAAACCCCGATGGTGAAATACGTCAGCCCGTCAAACTGGAAGCTGACTCGGGGAGCCTGTTACCTGTTCTCCATCTTTTAGCTTAGAGTTGCGTTATGGGGTGCTGTGGGGGGCGGACTCCCCGAATTTGTTTCCTCACGCCGTCCGTCAGCTGTACGAAACATCCATCCACTTCAAGCCAAGTTCTCAACGCCTTTCATCACCGTCGACGATCCCAGTCTTTGCTTGTGAGCGAAATTCTAGAGGACTGACCGCTGGTAGTAACGACTTTGAAGGAGGAACTCGCGGCCGATTCATACATTCAGTACCGTCACAGCCTCAGAACGGTACATATGGTCTCTCTACACAGAAACTGCACTGCTTCATGCGAAACTGTACTCCAGAAGCATAACATAAATGTTCTGTGACTGCTACTTATTGCGCAGGGGCGCAGTGCCCCCTCGTGCCCATCCTAGTCCCCCAGACAACTGGGGACAGGTACGAGTAACCTCTTCGTGAAGGTCTCTTGGCTAAGTCACGGAGGCTTCCACAATGATGACAGGTTACCTAGCACAAATATACAATATACCTTACCAGGGTTATACAAATAATGACAGGCTTTGCATTACTCGAGGCAATGCATAGCTTATCATATGAGGCACATGCCTTCGGCCATGACGGCACCCCAGGCCATGAAAATGCCAGGGTGAGGATTGACAATCATCATGCAGTTACGACACCTCCCTCGCTCTAGCAGGAAGCCTTGCCCATGTTCAGAACTTTTGCTCGCGATATTGCTGCGCTTTGGTGGCTTGATTCTTTCGGTGGGAGACGGCATATAACAGGGAACAAATCCCACCAGAGCCAGACGGCTTGGATATAGAAATCAGCCGAGCAATCTCATCAGTCTTTACCAGCATACCTATCAACCACCCCTGAAGATTATTCACTTGTACTATTTGTACTTTTGGGGTCTCAGCACTTTCTTTAACGTTGTTTCAGGATGCTCTTACCATCTCTTGCTATATTCCTCCTACTCCTTGATACTGGCGGAAGTTTGCAAGTACCTCACAAGGAAAGCAAAGCCAACCGCATCTACGATCAATGGCAACCGGCACGTCGAGGCCTCGATTCAATTCCGTATGGCGTGGACGTCCCTGAGAGCAAAAACGTGGAATTAAAAAGAATTAAAACCCCGTTTCAACAAGATCCCGCATGGAAAAGGCTTCCACAAACAAAGGGTTTTGCCTTGCGTGCCGAGAGATCGTTTGAGCTCGAGGGGAAAGTTATGACTCCCTTCGATCAATTCAAGAAAAGCAAAGGCATTTGGCCGCGAAATTATAACCCCAAGGAGAAGTCGCCGTATGCTTACGACCACCCCTCTGATGAATACAAGGGCACTAGCCTATATGAACATGTCACTGGCCAGACGAAGGAGACTACACGATACGTTTCAATGACTAAAAGCGTGGAGAAGGGGATTGAGTTTTCTGCCATCAATGAAGATGGAAGACCCAGTCATATATGGATTCGAGAAGGTCAGGACGACCACGTTGTCTGGAAAATACAAGACGCTCCGAACGTCATCGACACACACGGGAGCCTTGCAAACAGAGGGCCAGACGGAAATTTCATTGAGGACCAAAAGTTCATACCCAACGGCTACGATGACCAAATTGAGTATTCCGCTTTCGAAGGAATTCCCACAGAGCAGGTCAAAGGCTATTTCCGAACAGCCGACTTCCTAAAGGACCCGAGTCTTGCCGGGAAGGTAGCAAAGGGCGAGGAACCCGCTGGGCTTTTCGTTAAGAATCCGGATTACAATCCCAAATTCGACAACTTGCAGCACAGCGGTCCGCGTCCGGAACTCGCCGGGTTTCCTCCGTACAAATCAAACCCGCCAGGGTCTCCTTCTACGGGTGAGAAGTTTGAGGCATGGGATATCGAACCCTGGAGCAAATACTACAAGCCAGCGATTAAAGATCTTCAAGAGTCTCTCCAGCAAGCGGTGAAGACGTTTGCGGACGACTCCAGCAAGTCGATCAGGAAGGAGGTCTGTGGCATAGCGAGCAAGAGGGACGGCATGCTGCGCAAGAGAGGGGGCGGCCTTTGCGACGGTTTGACGCCCACGGAGCCACAGCCCCCGGCAAAGGAGGAGCCCCCGGGAAAGGGGGAGCCCCCGGAAAAGGGGGAGCCCCCGGCAAAGGAAGGCCCTCCAACAAACGGACAGCCTCCTACAGACGACCCAGAACGGCCGCCGACGGCCAAGGAGCAGGAGGTGGCGCTCGCGGCCGAGACGGCGTCGGAACGCGACTTCACCGAGCTCATGGTCGCGTACAAGGTGGCGCCCGTGGCCCAGGAGCGATGGAAGATGTCCCTGTCCGACGTGCGCACCAAGGCGCTGGGCTACAAGCGCCTCGGGCCCAAGGCGCCGGCTCTGCGCCCCGGGGCCCTCGGCAAGGGCATCACGTCCAAGCTCGGGGGCGGCGTCTTCCTCGGCGCCGTGCTGTGGGCGCCGGGCGTCGTGCTGGCCTTTGTGGCCAACACGACGGCCCTGGACCGCCTCGCGGCCGTCACGTCCATCGTGCCGCTCGTGGGCTGTGCCACGCAGGCGCTGGCCAAGGCGCCGGACCACATCGACACGGTCGACACGGCATTGTGCTTCCTCGGCGACGCCCTGATCCTCGGCGGGGCCACGGCGCCGCTCGGCATCGCCGTCCACATTGTGCGCGCCATGGTCCAGGCCTTCAAGCCGCCGCCGGAGCTGCCGACCAAGGAGGCGACGCGCCAGACGCGCGACCAGACGTGGCTCGACTTCACCAGGAACAGCATCTACAAGTACCTGTACTCGGACAAGTATTACTACGAGAAGGGCGACGGCTTCGCCACCAAGCTGGAGAGCGGCCTGGCCATCGAGGCCGCCGCCGTCCTGTCCCACGGCGCGCAGACGCTGGGCGTCCTCAACGCCACGGGCGCCCGCGCCATCGAGGAGGCCAAGACGGGCCAGGAGCAGACGGAGATCCGGCGCGGCCTCGAGGCGTCGATGCAGGGCATCCGGGACCTCATCCAGGCCAACGTCAGCAGCCGCCATCGCAGCTACCTCGTCGGCCTCCCGGCGCTGCTGCGGGACAACGCCTACGAGTCGCTCAAGGTGACGGCCGACAACTACAACAACGACCTGATCACCGAGGTGACGTCCTTCAAGAACATCCAGCGCTACCCGGCCGGGGCCACCTGGGACGACATCGCCGGCACCATCAGCGGCGCCCCGGTGGGCAGCGACCCGTACCGCGACGCCCGTCCGCGCATGGACGACATCGCCGCCTACCTGCGCGAGCAGCCCATCCGCATCCCCGCCCGCCTCGACGTCGCCTACGTCGTCGGCCAGTCCAAGGCCCTGGCCGGCCGCGTCGACCCGCGGGTGCTCTCGCCGCAGGCCTACCTGGCGGAGCAGTGGCCGAAGTGGCAGCAGTCGTCCATCGACGAGCTCTGCATCCGGAACGCGCTGCGTGTTGCCCTGTTCCTCGAGGGCAAGTACGACGATGCTCGCATCAAAGACTTTGACGCCGTCAACTCCAACAAGGTCTTTGACGGCCTGTCGCTGCTCACGGCCATCAAGTTCGGGAGGATATACGACGAGTTCAAGGTGGCGTATGCCTACGAGCAGTATAAGCTCTATCTCCCCGAGTCTGCCATTCCCTGGGTCACCCTGCCGGCGGTTTCTCCTCTGCCCGTCACCAATCGCCCTTCCCATCCCTACATAATGGGCCTTGTTCTGGGCCTTACCGACTCCATCGTGCAGGCCGGGGTTGGGAGGGGGGATCAACGGGCTCAAGCACTTGTGGCCAAGATTCTGGCTACGCAGCAGCTTTTCTCTCCCACGTCAACCATCGCGAAAGAACAACGCACCAAGTTTTACCGAGACAAGACCAACGGCTACAACAACGGGCAGACGACTGAGTGTATCCAAGGCAAGTTGAACAGGTTGCCCCCCAAAGAGGTGCTTGCCAATAGAGGGAACTTGCCCCTTGGACACCTGGGCAAGGAATGTGTCGAGGAGCGCTTCCAAGCCTGGCTGGCCAAGCAAGCGAAGCAAGCGTGAGAGTCACGAAAGCCATGGATTTGGTCGACGATCTAGTAGATGATGGAAAATACAAACGCTAGTTGGAGAGCGTGAAACGTGCCTAGGACATTTGCGTCTCGGCTGCCAGTGTGGACTCGTTGTAGTTGACTTGGGCTCCCAGATGGTGGATGACGCCTTTCCGGTCGACCAGCTCGTGAAAGGCTGACTTCTCTAGACCCATCATCTCCTGGGTGACGTCTCAGGAACCGAAATGTTCTCTACAAGAGCAGCGACCTCGGTGCGTAGCATATCTCTGATACTCTGATGATGGACTGGATCTTGGCGCTTGTGTTTGCCAATGGCTGCGGCAAGACCAGCCAGGTCCGAGACCTCGTATATCACACGGACGGGCACCAGGATTTCAAACACGTCGCGTATGCCGGCGATGAGAGACGTCACCTGCAGAGACGTTGCAACCAGGGCGAAGAAATCAGTCTTGCGATGAATACCATCCTCTGCAATAAGGACGATTACTCGGACTCGCATAGCTTGGAAGCCGCGCCTTTGCCTTTGCCTTTGCGAGAAGAGCATTGTTACTGCTGGTCATGGACGAATATGTAACGCAAGCTACCAGCAGCGATGAGTGTGAGCCTGGGGGGTCCACCCTCATCGCAATGAGAGCATTGATCAGTCCCGTAGGGAGCAGTTCCGCCTCAACGACGTCCAAAGAGACTCGACTGACCTTGCGGTCCTTGCGAGAGACCCAGACTGCGTCTCCAGTCGTGTCCCTGTACAATGGGTCTCCAGCATGGTGATAAAGGCTCTCCGCGTTTGTTCCGGTTTACGGAGATGACCCGGGAGAGGCCGGCTCCCCCGAGAAAGAGCTCGCCTCCTTTTTGCCCATCAACTGGTCAAGAAGAGCCGTCCAGGACATATGCAACTGTTGGTTGAGTAGCACGCCGACGGGTGGACAACCCCTTTCCACACCTTCATGGCCAAAATGGAGCACGCGGCAGGTCCATGTCCGTTCACCGGTCGACCGGCGGGCCATTTTCCAGCACAGCTCTGCAGGCATTGATGTTCGGAGATTCGCCTCGCACGATCAAAGTCGCGAGGTCTGGGAAGACGGCGGGAAATTCCAACACAACGATCCTGCCCGGTGCAGATGTCATCTAGGTGGTTGACGAGGCTCATTCAAACGGCTTATACAGGCCCAAGGGCTCAGGTCTTGTGCGTCATTGGGGCTTGGCGGATCAGGTCGCCATCCTTACGCATACCTTTGGCAAGGCAGTTGGCCGCACTGGTGGTAAGGGAAGACTTGAGACCATGCTGCGCTCTCTGTCTTGAATCGAGGAAATTGACCGATCGAGACGCGTAGCCGTCGTCTTGTGCCATCCGGCTCCCAAACTCCCCCTGTTCAACTGTGCACGCAGCTTCATCGTCACGACCGGACCTACGTTTATGGATTTAGCTGCCGTCAGGGCTGATTACCGTCCTATTGAAAGCGCCGAGGGTGACCGGGTCAGTAATTCCTCGTCCTCCCACCGCCAATCTATCCAACATCTACGACCACCTTAAGAAGCACCCTTTATGGGAAGAAGTGCAGCGCATGGACAAGCTGCGGCTAGTCGATGAAGCCGGCCTTTCGCAGGAAGTCGAGTTCCCCATTGTTCTCGGAATTGTCCAGCCTGGGGAATGCCGTCGGCCAGCAGCTCATCTGTTGAAACGCGGGCTTCCTCGTGCACCCTGCTCAATACCCGGTGGTCCCCCTCGAATCGGAGAGAACCCGGATTATAATGCCCGCGACCAATAGCAGGAGCAAATCGAGGGCTGTATCGATAGAATCATGCAATGGGTTCACATGAGCTTGGTTGCTTGGTGATGGCGTGACATATAGCAGCTTCTCCGTTGTGTTGTGGTAAAATGATGGGAAGTGTGAAAGGCTTCTGCTGCATGTTAAAATAAAGGGGAGGAAAATGTTATAGCCAACAGAACTCCGTCAGCCTCTCTCTTGGTCTTTTCCTCTGTACAAGCACTCATCACGACACAGTACGGCAGCTTGACCAACAAGCAGGGCCCCCCCCGAGGCTCGAGCAGAGGAACGAGCGCAACGGCGACGACGGGGGCATCGGGGAACGGCTGTCCGTTCTCCGCACGGCTGGCGTAGCCGATGCAAGTGCGTTACATACTGTGATATGTGTGGATGTTTCTTGGTACTGTAAGTCAGGTCACTTTGATATTCGTCCTAGTTTCCTTGGATAACCTGGAAAAGGGGGGGTTCTGCTTTTCTTCCCGAGCTCCGGCACCCTCCAGCCCACCCCCTGCTATCATCCGCGTGCTCCCGCTTGCACTCTTCCTTTCTTTTTCCATTTTCGTTAGCTTTCCTTTTTTTTCTCTGTCAAGGAGGCGTAAAGATGTGGGTGGGGGTTGCACAGCGCCTTCTCTTTTTTCGTCTCCCAATCCTCCCTCCTCTCTATTTCTTGGGGAAGATTGCCTTCCTACCCACCCCTGAGCCATCACGACTGAGGGAATTTCATCGGGATGGGGCAGTCGGTTCCCAGCATTCGGGACGGGACGCAACGCCCACATTTTCTTGGCCGAGCCCCGGGGCCCACCTGGAGAAAGGGGGGGGGGGCGGGGGGGAGGGAGGGTAAGAAATCCTAGGGCCGAATTATTACTTCTTTGTTGGGTCCCCTTATTCCTTTGCTCCGTCACACGCGCGCGCTACGGTCCGGTCCATCAATCAGCTTCGCTGACTGACAAGGACCGGGCCGTGTGGCGAGTCTGGCCGTGGAAAGGGGGCACGAGTGGATGAGTGCTTGTTGGCCGCCCTTTTTCATCCGTGTGAGCAACTCGCCTTTCCTTGAGCCGAGACTGTGTAAAGGCTGATGCTCCGCCACGGGCAGCGGAAAGTTGCCTCAATCCATTTGCTTGCTTGCTCATGGGAGCCTGGCTGCAGTCGACCCCCTTGTTTCTTGTCTCAGGCAGCCGTTGGCCATGTGCTCCGGCGACAACAGCACATGCCCTACCAGATGGAAAAAGAAAGGGGCAGAAGAAGAAGAAGAAAGAGGGGGGGGGAGGGGGGCCGACCTCCGCATCCTCGTCCCCACCACGCTTGTTGAGGCTCTCCCATGACTGACCGTTAGGAATACGAAGCACTCCGTCCGTACCCAGACATCGTAGTTTAATCTCTCCCTCCCCTACCTGTGGGCTGACACAGCGCCTATTTCCCATTAGCGAAATATGAGTAAGCCGAGATGATTCTTGCTCACGTCAAGTTGCAGAAATAATCAGTCCCTCGTTCTCCTTTAGCCCACTGACCACCGACAACTGGGAGCAGGAGCATGCATGTCCCGAATGCACCCATGCATGTATGTAGGCACATGCCTATGCACGCCTGCATCATGGAATGGGCGCAAGGGTGCCCACCGTACCTACTGTACGATTGGCAGAGGCAGACGGAACAGCTCATCCCCAACCTGAACTCCGTACCGTGCATGTACATATATGATCGGGGTCTTCATTCTTGGCGATACGAATGCCCACCAGGCAAATGCTTGGCGCCTATACGTCAGTCAAGCCATGCGTGGCCCAGACTGGGCGCCGCCAACTTTCTCCCCTGCCGTGCACGCAGAACGGTCGATGGAAAAAGAACGCAAAAGGAAAAGAGCGTGCGCCGCACTTGCTGAAGAGCTGGGAAAAGCCAAGATGCGGAGGCCATCCATCATCCACAGAGAAGGAGACGGCTCCAAGCTACTGGTTGTAAGTGTGACTCCATGGTATCTACAGTGTGCCGTACATGTACGCGATACCTGGTAGGCACAGGCATGCCATGCCCTCGAACAAAACCAACGCGAGTTCCGAACGGTGGAGGCGCCGACGGACCCGAGCTGACATCGAGGTCCTGTTTCACCCCTTCTTCGGAAGCCCGCTTCTGGCTGTTGGCTGTCTCGTCCGTGGCCGGGACCCGGGGGGGGGGAGGGGGTCCGCCGCCAAGGTCAGGAAGCCAAGCCTCTCTCTCCGACCCAGCCCAGGGCTTGTTGGCACCACGTCTCGGACGCTTTCGCCCCCGAGCCCTGTCCACGGCCCCGCAGCCTTCTCCATATTACCATGCAGCGTCGTCTCTGGATCCATTTCCTGTTGTGCATCGGCATGCCTTCCACTCGCTCGTCGTCCTGCCAGCTCGTGCAAGCCATGATGCGCCGCCGTACGAGGCCTTGTTCCGAATGTCCCGTATGTACAAACACGCAACACTGTGTGTGCTCCCGTCTGATGCGCAGGCGTACATGTAAGAGGGTGCCATTTCAAAACCCCTGTGCCGTAACCATAAGGGGAAGCTTGACCCTTTCAGCCATCAACTCAGCCGTGCCCCCATGTGCTGTGAGTTGTTTGGCGGGGGAAATGAGTGATTTGTAGCCTCAATGCTACATTTCCCGAGGTCTGGCAGGCAGCTGGAGTGACGCCGCCGGTCTTTCATTTCAGAGAGCCTTAGCCTCCTGGACAGAGAAGAGAAGGAGCAGGAGACAAGCAAAGAGTGGTCTCCGAGGTTGTAGACACTGGTGAATCAATGAGCAATACCTACCTGTCACGGGTGTAGATGCATGTACATACTCGAAATGCGGACTAGCCGGACGGCTGGGTCGGCAACTGGCTTCACACACGCGCATGAGGGCTGTGGCCGGCAGCAGGCGAGAGGCGGCGGTATTCCGAATTGCGGGATGGCAAGGGGAAAGGAAAGCTTACCTTGCCGTTTGTGACAGGCTCGGACTTGGAGCGGCGCCCACGCCATTGCGACGAGTCGCCCGAATGACCAGCAGCAACGGGCGCCTCATGGGTCTGAGCTTGACGCTCTATATCGCAGTGCCGTGGCTGCCGCACGGGACGAGGTCCTCGATGCTGCGGGTCATGGGCCCGGCCCGGCGACAAAAGAGGCGGCGCATTGTTGAATGACGCCACCGATTGTGCCCGACGCCCCCTTTTCTTCACCAAAGCAAACGGGAAGCTTCGCGTGCCGGATCCGACGGCCTGCGCAGTCAAGATAGCCATCGTCGGTCCGCGATCCTGTCAAGTTGTTGCCAGAGCCTTGAAATGCTGCTTGTCGGCAACAAGCCCATGATGCAGTTCCTTCGCGCCCGCTCACCGGACCCTCGACTGTGTAGATGAGTCCCGTCGTCGAGGCTTCAGGCAAGAACAGGCATATCTACATGTCTTTAGACGCTGTTGAAGGGTCGCAGTCCCAGCTGTGCTCACTGAAGAGTACCTGCCCACCACCCGGGCTGCATTGTTCCAGAGCTTGGCGTCCACGGTTCGATGGTGTGCGACGTAGCGGGATGTGAGGAGTCATCAATTGGGCGCCATGGCGCATGATGAGTGTAGCAGCAACGAATGACCCGGCTTTGTGTGGTTGCAGCAGCAACAAGCTCCGGCGAGGGGCCTCCCATGGCCGAAATGACTGCCGGCAGTTGATAGGTGGCCATTCCGATGGCTTGACGGTTTCAGGGATGTCCTCTGGTGCTCTACCTAGGTATCGCAACACCAGCATGCTC